TGCAATCGAGTAGGGTGAAGCTTGTCTCTAATAGAACAAAGCTTGGTAACGACATCACTCATGTCCGTCCGCGCACTTGGTGATTCGGCAGAACAAATGAGTCCTATTTCCAATATTGAATTCAAGAATTGAAGATGTCTGTCATTTCCTTGTTTGACTCGCTCTTCAAGAAGAATGGGATCTATAATCTCAATCAGTTGTTCAGGCAAAGCTGCCACAACAAAGTTGTGAAGGCTGAAACCTTCTTTGAACATTTCATTAGTCGGCCTTTTCCCCGTAAACATCTCTAGCAAGAGGATGCCAAAGCTATACACATCACCTTTTGTTGACAACTCGCTTCCCATGCCATATTCTACAATTAACTCATCAAAAATTATATAAATTATAGCAATAATTGCAGAGGAGATCCTTTGAAAAATATAAAGATATAGCCTCTGACATCAAAGCTTTAAACATGTAAAATTACATTCTAATTTGAAGTAATGTAGTCATTTTTTGTTAACCAAAAACTACTTCCACATTATATGTTTTGATTTTGAATTATGTTGTGCTAAGACAAGTATTAAAATGGAAGAAATAAATGAAATGCACTTACCTGGTGGAGCATAACCAATAGTTCCTCTTAATCCGAGGGAGCTTGACTGAGTAATAGAATTGTTAAGCCTATCAGCAGAAAGGATTTTTGCTAAGCCAAAGTCACTTATATGGCCAACCATTTCCTCATCAAGTAGAATATTGCTGGGCTTGAGGTCACAATGAATAATTGGTGTATCGCAATGATGGTGCAGATACTCCAGTGCATGAGCAACATCTGCTGCCACATTTACCCTTTGGAAGAAATTCAGGTTTCTCACTGTCTCTTGTTCATTCATGCCAACAGATGGATGCAGCCAATCCTCCAAGCTTCCGTTTACCATGAACTCATAAACTAGTGCTTTAAAATCATTGCCTTGATAATCAACACCTGAAATTGCTGTTAATACCTTGACAAGATTCCGATGTCTAATGTTCTTCAAGGCCTCACATTCAGCTAAGAAGCTCCTGGAAGCTCCATGAGTAAGAAGATTAAGCACCTTAACGGCAATAACTACTCCACTCTCTTCAAGAATTCCTTTGTATACAGAACCGAAGCTACCTGAGCCAACCAAATTTCGCAAAGAGAATCCACTAGTAGCCCTCAGGATGCTTTGGTATGATAACTGTAAAAGTGAATTTTCTGCACAAGTTGCTGCTGGCTGCTCTTTCCTCTTTCTGAACCACAAAATGAGGAGAAATGAGAATACCAAAGTTACTCCTAAAATCACAAAAGCAATTGCAATTTTTAACTTGAGAGAGGTATTTGATCTTTTGATGGATGTTTTCAAGTTACATTTGGACAAGTGTAACTCAGGGGTGCCTCCACAAAGCTTATTGTTTCCCTCAACGAATGTAGCAGTTGCATTCTTAAAGACTCCATCAATTGGTAACATACCTTCAAAATCATTAAAAGATAGATTTAAATACTGTAATGACCCAAAGCTAACAAGAAATTCTGGAACCTCACCGGAAAGATTATTGTTAGACAAGTCTAATTCGATAAGACCTCTCAATGAAATAAAAGATGAAGGAATGGGCCCTTGAAACAAATTGCTATTCAAGAACAGATACTCCAGTCTTACACAGCTACCAAGATTGTTGGGAATCAAACCAGATAATTTGTTCTGGGAAACATCCAATGCACCTAGATTTTTCAGATTCCCTACTGCAACCGGAAGCACACCAGTCAAATGGTTGGATGATAAGTCTAAACCCATGGACAATGACGAGAGTCCAATTACTTCAGGGGGTATTGATCCACTTAGATTGTTATAAGAAAGATCCAATACAACCAAACTTTCGCAGTTACCTAGACTTGAAGGAATGTTGCCCTGCAGATTGTTACTCTTTAAAGTAAGTTGGGTTAACATTGTCAAATTTCCAATAGAAGGGGGAATAGGCCCAGAGAGAAAATAATTATAATGAGCATAAAAAGTCTTTAGCTTCTTAAGCCTCCCAATAACAAGGGGAATAGAACCTGATAGCAGATTATTTGATGCATCTAGCAACTCCAAATTGATGAGATTTTCAATCCCTGCTGGAATTCTTCCCAATATTTTATTCCTTCCTATTGCTAGAAACAAAATGGTGCTAGACAAATTGCTAACGCACTTGGGTAATACCCCTCCAAAATTATTTTGGGTTATCTCTAGATATTCTAGTTTGGTAGTATTGGTTAAAGAACAAAGAAAGTTTAAGTCACTTGCTCCCCCATTTCCAAAATGATTTGTGCCTATGAGAAATCTAGATATTTTATCCAGCTTTCCAAATGAAGGCAAGTTTCCGTTAAGTTGGTTGGATGAAACTTGAAGAGCCACGAGATTTGAGGCATTGGATATTGAAACAGGGAATTGTCCACTGATTTGGTTTTGTCTGATGGAAAATATTTCAATATATGGCGTAGTGATTCTTAAGTCAGAAGGAAGAGTACCTTGAATCTTGTTTCCACCAATATCAAAACTTACAATCTTAGAGAGATTGAAAATTGAGACAGGAACAATTCCAGAAATTTGCATTTTCTGCTATAGAAAGAAGTGAAAGATTTGTCAGTTGCCCAAGAGATTCAGGTATAACCCCATTCAGTGCATTCTGAGCCAAAGAAAGTGTCTCCAAAGACGATAAGTTCCCCAAGGAAGGTGGAATATTCCCCGTTAAACTGTTGTTGAAAACATTTAAAATTTTTAATTTTGACAAGAGACCAAGCAAACCGGGTATTTCTCCAGTTAGCTGGTTGCCTCTAATATGAAGAAATCCAAGCTTAGAACAACCAGATAAATTGGAAGGAATTTTACCAATGATGGAGTTATTGGACAATTGCAATATTTCCAATCTTCTTAAACGTCCAATTTCTTGAGGAATTTCGTTGTTGAAGCTGTTGCCTGCAAGATTCAACACCCTGAGAAAGCTCAAATTTCCAATGTTTGGTGATAGAGACCCCGTGAGTTTCTGGAATTGCAATTCCAACTTGGTGACTCTTTGATGTCTGCGGCCGCATGTAACACCGTACCATTGGCAGAAATGGATGGAACTATTCCAGGAATGCATAACGTTGAGCTGATCACCAGTTATCTTGGCTTTGAACTCGAGTAAAGCTTGTTGGTCCGTGTCATTTCCACTAACTATAGTGGCTTCTAAACCAAGCAAGTTAAGACCTTGCAGGTTGAAGCATGAGAGAAGAATTATAACTTCAACATGAACAAGGAAAAAAGAGCTGGACACTTTGAAATGCTTGATCGATAGCTCCATCAGCCCGAATCAGTTTGTTAATTGATGAGAATGGTTTGTATTTGAGAGTGCTTGGTTCTTCAACAAGAACTAGAGTGCAATATATAAGAAGTTTTGGAACTTCAATTTTGACCTGTCGTGTCTACCGACAATTGGTTGAAGTTTTCTGATTTTGAAAGGCAATTGGCTAGAATTTATGGCCGGCTCCTCCTTTAGTAGGAAGCATTGACTTGGGGATTGAGCATAATTGAGCCATACTTTCAATAATTTTGGATTCATCTTTTTGGTTTTTTCTTTTCATTTTATATAGAATCTAGGGTTTAGTTACAAATATATCACAATTATTGAAATACAAAATATATTGATAAATATACATTAATATTAATTCTTGATCATTATTGTGGTTGTACTCATATTTTAATTTCTAATGTCGTACAAATAAAATGATTTTATTATCTTAAGATAATAAAATTTTAAAGTAACATGATTTTTTTTTCGTTCATGTGAAAATTCTTTAAAATAATATCTTTAACTCAACTAAATAATAAATTTTCAAAAATTCAATTAGTATAATAGAAATATAAATTGATCATTACACTTTTATAATTCTACTAGGCCTTGAATGCGCCTTTGTTTAGATTGGAGCTTGAATGCGTCTTTGTTTGTTGAACAAGTTACTGATAAGAAGCTGAATTTTCAACCACATAACTTGTAGGCCACAATATAGTTGGTAGAGATTCTCGAAAGAAGAAAGAAAAAAAGACTCAATTGACTTATAAAATTTATTTAAAGACCTTGTTTCAATATCAATTTTGTAATGGTTGATGGAGATTCTCATTAAAAAATAAATAAATAAATAAACAAAGACCGATGGTGATCAATGGCCCTCTAACTTTTTTAAGTTATAGTTAGCAATGGCTTGCTTTGAATTCAAGCAAGGCCATAAACTAAATAACTAAACGCTAAATTGAATCCACATTCATGTAAATTTGGTGGTTTTGAGGTCATACATCAAAGGAATGCGTCTTTGTATGCGTTAAGTAAACGTTAATGTTATGAATGATATTATTGTAAAATATTTAATGTATTATCTAAAGTTTATTTAGTATATAAATCATAAATCTATTAAATTATATTTTTTTCTTAACATGATTAATTTTAAATGATAATACGTAATAAATAAATAATTTTTAAATATTATATTAATTAATAAATTTATAATTTATGTATCACATTAAAATTTTTTTAAAAATTTAACTTCACATTAAATATTTTATTATAATTTAAAAATAATTCATAATATTAACTCATTAAATAATGGTAATACGCAATGAAGCAAAACATCTACATGCAACAATACCAATAAAAAAATTTAATTATTCATCTTGGGTTCAAATTTCATATATATAACTTTTTTTTATTCCTAAATTATTTGTAATTCTTTTCTTTATCTCTAAATTATTTATAATTCTTTACTATATCCCTAAGTCATGACCTCCATAAAAAAAAAAAAAAAAAAAAGATAATTAGAGTGGAAATATTATGTTCAAAATTTTTTACAGATAAATTAAACCAAGAAAATCAGATATATATTTATTCCAGGATCTTTAACTGATGAACAAAAACACAGATAAAGGCCCAAAAAATAAAGCCCAAAGAAATTGATCAAACGCAAATAAAGAGTTACCTTATCGCCTTTCATTTTAGCCTTCCTTGAGACGGAGACTTTAGACTTCCAACTTCCATAGCTTTCTGTTTTTTTCTTTTTTTTTAATTAAATCTTTGACGTGTCCGAACAAGATCTTGAAGAAACAAAAGAATGTCAACGTTCCCCGACTCGTTCACTCAAACCGGCGACCATTCGGTCGACTCTTTCGACTCAGTTCCACACCAGGAAGACGAAGACAGCGGCTACGCCGGGTTCGACCCGTCTCAGCAATTCGACTCTTTCGCGGCCGCAGAGTCGGACCATGCCAAAGACTCGACTGATGACATGCTTGCATCGCAGCCGTATACGAATGGAGAAGGGTTTGGCCAAGATTTTGATGGATCGAACGGCCCTATTTTGCCTCCGCCTTCGGAGATGGAGCCCGAGGAAGGCGTTGCTCTCAGGGAATGGAGAAGGTTTTGAATTTTCTTTTATAATTTCGTTTTCTAATGTTCCTATTTTTGGTTACTGAGAAATTTTTGAGGAAATAAAAAAGTAGAAATTAAAGTTATGAATTTGGCTCTTAGCTATATTAGAAATATGAAATAAAGAGATTTAGTGAAAAAAATTTTAATTTTTGGAATATGTTTAATATGTTTGGTAAAGTCATAGTAGGTTACTAGGTTTTAATTAGGGAAAAGTTCAGAATTTATGGCTCAATTTCGGCAATTAGAAGGAAATGTTTTAGGCTTTTATTTTTGTTCGAATTCCTTCATTTTCAGAGATTGAATTAAAAAAAAAAAAAATTCCGCAAAATTATAAATTCTTTTTCGTAATTTAGATTCAATTTTTTGAGTAATGTTTTTGTTTTGCTAATGAAAATGTGTGAGATGTTGCGAATTTTATCGGATTCAGTGATACTTCGTATCGGGCATTTTTACTGTTGTAATGGCTTAGGGAAAATGCGATTCGATTGGAGGAGAAGGAGAAGAGGGAGAAGGAGTTGTTGAGCCAAATACTTGACGAAGCTGATCAATACAAAGTTGAGTTTTATAAAAAGAGGGAGGTCACCTGCGAAAACAACAAAGCAGATAACAGAGAAAGGGAGAAGGTACCTTTCACTTCAAGCCATATGCTAATGTTTTTAAGAATTTGTTACTTGTCTGAAACAAAACAAAGAAATAACGTTGTTTTACTTATTCTGGTTTCTAATTATTCTTGACTTGCAAAGTGCTAAAAGTTATGTGCAGATATTGATATTATGCTTTTCATCATCTCTTCTCATGTCTTAGAATATGCCTTTAGTTTTCCGAATGTGTGTTCTCTGAAACACGATTTATTGCACTAGAGTGTGCTATATCTTCCTAGATTAAAAATTTCTTGTAGAAATTCCTTATTAAGTTTTTTCATTGATCTGTCCAATAATTTGTGACACCAAAAAATGAAAGGACAAAGGTAATGGTGGTATGTAGAATTAAACTTTGATGCAGTGGTGATATTGCTTATGAAGTTCTATCTTAACACGCACATGGACAATGTTGAATTTCTAGTATTACTATTTGTGAGCTAAGTAGCATCATAGATGTTATAAAATATGTTCACCCTGGTTTCATTGGTGTCACTTTACCTAACTAGCTTATTAAGGGGGAATGTTACTCGTAGACGTGGAGAAAGTAATGGAAACTACAATGTTCTTTGCCCCATTATATCGCTTCTTAATGCTGGAAGTTGATTAGCGAAGTAACTTGCTACTCGGCTTGTTTAAACTGGTAATAGTCAGTTGCTAAACTCAGTTTTTCTTTTGGTGAAAGTACGAGGACTCAGTTTATTGAGTTAGAGGATGAAATTCTTGTAATTTGCTTAAGTTTTGTTCTCTGACTTCTTAAAATACAGAGCTATGTGCTTTTGCCATATATAATAAACTTATGGCATGCTTGTTGCACTAGATTATAAATAAGATAGGATAAGATGATATTATGAATAGGATTAGATTAAATAACATCATCCTATCTTGTTTTTATGTGTGTAAGGATTAGGATAGGATAATTTTATATGGGACAATTATCTTCCTATCCTATCCGCCATCCTATACACCAAACATAACCTTATCTCCTTTTATTCTTTGTGTTAGATATTTGTAGCCAACCAAGAGAAGTTCCATTCTGAGGCTGATAAACATTACTGGAAAGCCATAGCAGAGCTCATTCCTAATGAAGTGCCAGCTATAGAGAAGAAAGGAAAAAAAGATAAGGAGAAGAAGCCTTCCATTGCCGTGGTCCAAGGTCCAAAGCCCGGAAAACCGGCTGACCTTTCAAGGATGAGACAGATACTCTTGAAATTGAAGCACAATACACCTTCCCATTTGAAGCATACTCCACCACCAGCACCTGCCCCTGCAAAAGATCAAGATTCAAAAACCAGTAATACTCCTGTCACAGCTACTCCTCCTGTCACTGGCACCCCTGAGACTGTAGTTGCTGCTTAGTATTAACATTTGTCAGCTTCTGTAACCAAAACTATCTAAGGGTATCTTGTTAGTATTATTGTATTTAGCCTTTCATCATCAGTAGTAGGCTAAATTTGGTTGTATGAGGTTATAAATTAGAGTTTCTTTATTTATGAAATTGTCATTCAGATGGAATAACTCTTCATTTTTCCTCTTTCTTTTCTACCATTGAGGATAAGCCCCAAGCCAGTTCACAGAGTGTTCCTGTCCCACTGCCTGGGACTGATCTCAGGACTCGGAATCCTGGACCAGTTTCTTGCAAGGGACCTGTAGCAATTAACCAACCGCATGAACGTGGTTGTTGACACCGGGCAAATCCACAGCTGTAGGAGCATTAAACCTCGGGAAGACTTGATCTAATCCAAATGTATCCATCACTGGCTTGTTTGCAGAACTTCAAGTATTTAAAGCTTCGGGCTACCTTTAATTTGTTTCTCTCTTTTGGATTGACCTCACCAAACAACTCTGTTGCGGATTTCTGCTGAAGAAATCTTGATTTTAGGGAGAATTATGGCCCACAGTCATTGCTGAATGCCCTGATTCAAAGATTATTTCTATTCTTTTTGCAATCCCTTCAGAAGCAAACTGCAAAAACATTAGATGGGCGGTTAGATGTGGTCCAGCTTTTATGCACTGCCATGCCTAGAAATATTCTCTTCCATGACAGGCCAACCTTTGTTATCTTCCCTTTGGAACTGAATAGTTTTGTTTGTGGTCACTGGTCACTTTCGAGACCAAGTGGAATGCCTCTTTCTGAATAGTCTTGCAAGCAATAAAACAGCTGCAAGCCTTTGAATTATCTTGCAAAGTGGGGAATCTGAAAGAGCCTGATCACATGCTAAAAGCTTTCAATCAGCTTTCAAGCCTTTCACATAGAAGAAAACAATGCAAGTAGATATGACAATTGTACCTATAATGTCATTTTCGTATTAAATATATATATATATAATTCAATAAATTTTCTTATTAAATATATATAGAACATAAAAATTATCATATCATAATTCGTATCAATACATCAAACACTAAACATACTTTTTTATTTTTACCAAAAATTTTTATCAAACTTATATACGATTTTTGTCAATTTTAATCTGTTTTGCTTTAATATCTTTTTCATATTGTATCTAAAATTGTTAAATCTAATTGCAGGGCATTTGGAACTTTTATAAGCTTCAATTTTGTCTCAAAAATAAATTCATTCCAATTAGGAACCGTGGGGTAGAAAGAAAATAAGCTGATCACTGGTTTTCAATTGACAAGCTTTCACCATTTCAAAGCTAGTTCACAACAACTCACCGTGTAAATTTTGGAAACTAAAATATGTTTAACATCTACCTAGGTTTATAATACAACAACCGTGAATTACACAACATTAGACAAATCTAATTAGCTTTACATTGAAATTAGAATAATGATTCCGACGTGGTTCATCCTGGAAATTGGTTCTCTTCCAAATGTCGAATCTTGTAGATTTAAAACAATAATGTATGGTCATATCTCATTATTCTATATCATGACCATCATCTGGCATGCAAACTGGCAGGGGATCGACCACCTCGATCACTGCCAATATCATCTTCCATTTCGATGCCATCTATACAAATGCCATTATTGTTGACACTAAGCTCCGAACTAGCATTACTGCTTGTAGCAAGAGGGGAATCCAAGACACTAATAGTTCTGCTTCGTGTAGGACCAGATCTCACACTGTACATAGACGATGCTGGAATATTTGTCATCAATGGTCGTAAATTACCATGAATGCTTCGCCTTATATCCTGCTCAAGACAATATTGGAATCAGAGGAAGAATTAACTTAATTTTTTCCCCTCAATCTTCAATGTCTTAGCTTACCGGCCCATAAGGACACAAAAGTTGAGACAGATGTGAACAAATGAGGGATAACCATGTCATCCATCTATAAATAACTATTAACAAGAGGATTTGGGATACCTTGACAATAACATATTTAGATTGTCGTATCATGTAACGGATCCTAATTTAAGCAAATATAAAAGAGAATGCCACAGAAAATTTTAGGAGATACTTACCATATGCCTTATAGCCATATCCAGCGATTTCTTTGAAAGTGTTCTTCCAAAACCAGAACTATCTGGTGATGCAGACTTCCCAGACCAGTTACCATGAGGAGAATGTCTATCATCTTGCTTGGGTGGTGCCAGTTTCCGCATGTTTATCACCCTCTCAACCATTTTAGTTCCAATTACAACGGGGCTCAAGTTGTCACTCACTTTGGAATACCCACGACTAACTGCAGGAACAGAGCTCCCACTGACATGCAGCATAGCACCATAAGGGGGACGTCCTCTTGAAGGAGAGCATGATTGCCGTCTTGGTCTACCAGTAGGACCCGGTTCAACAGAAGAAGATCGAGAACTTGGTGCTCCAGGCCTACCTCTTGAGGCTGAAAGAGGTCTATCAGGTAGTGTTGTTCTTAAATTTGGTGGAGCATCAAGGGAGAAACCAGGCATCTCAGAAGGTTTCCATGGTCTAGATTTTACCGTCAGAGAGGCACCAAATGATGGTACAGAATTTCTGGAAGTTGCAGGAGCTGGCTTTGTAACAGAAGGAGATGATTTAATTGGAGAAGCAGATATATTAGGAGCACTTGATGGAGTTGATGTTCGACGAGTTGGTGTGGCTGCTCTTGATACAGGTTTGGATGAAGGTATAGAAGCTCTTGCAGTTGGTGTTGAAGACCTAACTGTGGACCTTGTTGGTGTGGAGGATCTAGCAGAAACCATCAGTTTAGTTGCAGAAGATGCAGTCTTGGCCGCAGAAATTGTGGGCTTAGTTGTGGATGCTACAGGTTTTGTTGCAGGTTTAGTTGCAGATATTACAGGCTTTGCTGCAGATGTTACAGGCTTAGTTGCAGAAATTGAGGGCTTAGTTGACGGTAATGTGGCCCGAGTTGTCGGTGTTGATGACCTTCTAGATTTAGATGCTCCAGTCAAAGTAGGGCGTCCGGTGGGTGTTGCAGGTCTAGAACCTGGACCCCCTGATGATGAGGGCCTGCGAATCCCTGTAGAATTTAACCCAGGGGACAAAGCTGGTTGCTTCGGTGCTAAGTTGCCTCTGGCAGCAGACTCTAACTGGGGATTTGCTAGCTATAAACACAATGAACAAAAATTGATTGCCAATAACTCCATGTACCCAATCATCAGAACATCTAAAGGTACAAAAACGTAACAAAACCATGGAATAACATTTTTGGGATTCTAAAATACAAAAAAAAAATTGATACTATGGACCATCCATAATACGTCAACAGGTACACAGATTTTTCAAAACTTGAAAATGCTTCTTAAATTTGGGCATTAATGACTGTTATTCCTCTTAAGGTATGAATACTACTAACTCGTTTCAATGGCAAGTCAGTAACGCATGTAGAAAAATTGAGATTAATGAGCTCCAAGATAACAGGTAGTCATCCATGGTGGTTCCTAGTTAAGAAAAGCTCTTTAATGTAGATACAAAGATAAGGAACCTTCCAGTTTTGCTGATACCTGACCACACTCTAATCTAAAAGCTAGGTGGGAAATAATCAAATTTCACAGCAAAATGGCCAAAACAGGACTACAAGGAATTCAGACTCTCATTTAATAAATGATGAACCAGATAACTTCCTATTTCCAGAAATTACTATATCATGTACGTAAATAATCAAAATTTTTCAAAAGGTGTGCAATCCATATTATTATCATCAAGAAAAGTTTTCATACTCTAGATTTCATGGTAGTCAGGTGAGCCCTAGGACTGTCAATCTGACTCATTAAAGTCTTTTGCGACTCCATCTCCAAGGAAGGAAAAAGAGGAGTACCAGGAGGCGTTAAAAGCCTGAAATGGAAAAGATTTCCCGTTAATATCATCATATTAAAAGAAAATGTTTTCACTTAATTACTTTCATGCGGAAAATGAAGCTAAAGAAAAAGTCTGATTATATTGGGAACGAAAAGGAGATAGAGCGAGAAATGATCGGAATCAAATTTTTAACAATGAAATATAATTCAACTCGATTGAAAGAGCTAGGAATGTGAAGTTTGAGTTCCCAAGTAAAAGAATGCAAGTAATTCATCAAAAGAAATCATAACAAGTCATCATCAATACTTTACTTCAAAGCAGCCAAAACCAAAAGCAGCCACCAAAATTTAGAAAACATAAATGCTCTAGTTGCTACTAGTGACCCCAGGGCACATGATAAAAATGCCCAATGCCCGTCACAACCATCAAATTATTAACTTTAATCAATCACACATATCATCAATTATAATCATCCTTCTTTCTTGTTCTTTTCCTCTCTCTTCCAATTGCCTTGTTCCTTTGGCCGAGTTTAAGTAAATTAACCAAAATCCAAGCTAAACAGGAATATGACTTATAAAATCAAGGCTCTGTTTGGTTGTTCCTAAGGCTTCTGCCTTTTTTGGTAATTGCTCTTTATACTTCTCAAAAAGCTACAATTAACCAATATTATATAATTAATAAAAAATAGAGAAATAACTAAATTGTGAAGCCAATTCTAACATAATTATTATGTTATCCAAAAAAATATTTCTAGTTCTTCTAAATTCATGGTCGCTTTTTGCATTTTGCTTTCAACCAAACAATACCTAAATTAAATTAAATTAAAAGAACAAATAAACAAACAAATTACCAGTCATAGTCATTTTTATCACTATCAGAATTAAGAAAATCATCAGCAGCACCGCCCGCCTTTCTCGCCGGCGTAGTTGTCGATGCCGAAAGATTGAAGATCGGTGAAGCTCCATGTTTAGATCCTACAGTTTCCAAATATTACCAAATTACCACAACCACTAAAAATTCAAAGCTAAATCACGAAAAGAAAAACTAAAAAAAGTTAAGAACTTTTAAAACTTTACCTAAAGGAGCATCGAAGTCTTCGGAGGAGTGATTGAAAAGAAGATTACTCTGTTCTTTCTCACGTTTTCGCATCTCCAGAAACAATGCGAGCTCTTCCTCTTTCTCTTTCAACATCGAAGCTCTTAATTGTTGCCGTTGTTTCAACGCCGCCGCTTGCATTGCCGTTTCTTGCTGAGCCCTAAAGCTCCGGTTCATCTTTCACCTTCTCAAATTTATTCTCACAGATCAAAGAAGGCCTTTTTGTTCAACTCTAACCGCAGCGTTTGAGAGAGTCAGGTCGAGCTTCGGAGCTGGAAATGCGAAACGACATAGGGAGAAGAAGGAGGGAAGAGGGAAACGACAATGGCGGAGAGTGGCAAGGAGTGTAAATAAAGGGAAGGAGGGAAGGGCGAAATGGGAAGAGAAGGGAAATCTTGAATGACGGGACAACTGTAACTGGAGCTCTCGTTGTTTTCTCTCCCTTAAAGGCTACGTTTTCAGATTTTTGCTTTCAGGTAGATGGATAATCACAATAATACCCTCTTTTTTTAAATATTTTCATTTTTCGGGAAATGGGTTTTTATTTTTTATATTTTGCAGTTATGCCCTTGAACTGTTTAAATATTGTAATTCATTTCATCATGGATTGGGTTTCACCACGTTAATTCTCAGGCCCATCAATCTAATCATCCATGGGCCGAATTGCTCTTTTTCCGGCCAAGCCATATTATTGATAATGAAATTTTTTGCAATATTTTTTAATTGTATTTACCTTATAAAACTAAATGTGGACAAGAAAAACGGACCACGAAAAGTTAGCATATCCGACGGCTAAGATTTAAGATCACCAAACCAAGTAAAATAATTATAGAGTAATTTTCTTGTCTAGGGTCCGGGGAACGAACCAGGCTATCAGGGGTTGAAATGAATACATGAAATGTCAATTTCGGGTTATTCACATAATATAAGACTTCTATAAGTCCTTAAGTGCAAAACCAACATATTTAAAAAAAAAAAAAGAGAGGATTCTTCTCGTTGAAAAGCGATGTCGTTTAAAAAAAAAAAAAGTCTAAAATTTATAGGATTGAAAATCCAATTTTGTTTTTCTTTTTCTATATGTTTCAGTTGCGAAAAGGAACCCGAAAATGATAAACGAAGCAAGCAGCAGCAATAGCAGAGAAGAGAGCGTGGTGGACGATTACGGCACCGTTAGAATCTCCTGCTGTTACTGCAAATCCTCCAGCGCAACCAGTATCTCTCACGGTCCGGTTCTTTAATTTTCTCCATTTTTCTAAGGGTGCCTTTGGATTTCACTGGACCCCCGATTTCAATTGGAGTTGTACCAATCTCACTGCACAGTGTAAAATTTTCATTTGGCTTTCATCGTAACAGCACGATTGATACCAGTTTTTCACTGACCAATTTTGGTCCAGTGGCCAACTGGGCTTTCTTTCTTTCTTTTTTTCTTTTTATTTCCTTTAGTTTTTATTGTAAATACAAAATCACTCCTATAATTTAATTCTTTTCTTTTCTCTTTTAATTTTTATTTAAAAATTTTGAAATAATTTTAATTTAATAATAAAGAATATTATTCGATATTTTTTTTTTTATTAATTTTATCAATAGTAAATAATTTAAATTTTTTATTATATATATCCTTTAATCTAATGTCATTAATAATCATTTTCTTTTCTCCCTTCTTGCTATCGTTGTTTTTTAATCCAAACACATATCATATCACCTAATTGTAATCAATCTCACCATACCAATACCTAAGGCTGAATTTCCCTTCAATGATCTTTCTTCGACTTTTATTTCGATATAATTGACTTCAATGTTTTTCGATTTATATATAATTAATAGTTAATTAATTTAGGATTAAGCGTTGATTATGTCAATTGGATTAAGCTATGCGTAATATTTGTAGATAATTTCTGATTTTTTTTTTTGCAGGTTTATTGGCTCACAGCATTACAGTTAATGATTACCAAGGTTTTCTTTTTTTTTTTTTCTTAGCAATTTGCTAAGCGAATTTTATGCTTCATAGTTTTAGCTGTGAAAATAAGATTTTGATAATTTGATTTCTGTTATGTTTAAATTAAAAAAACATGAAGTAGAAATGAAGAAGTGGAATATGTAATTCGGCATTAGAAAATTCGGTTCGCGAAAAAGAAATTTTTTATTTTGTTTTTAAGGTATCGTGCAATTTCTGTTAGGTTTAAATGCAAAAAAATGAAGTGGAAATAAAGAAGTGGAATATGTAATTTGGTATTAGAAAATTTGGTTATCAAAAAAGAAATTTGTTATTTTGTTTTTAAGGTATTGTGCAATTTCTGTTGTGTTCTGTTATGTTTAAATGAAAAAACATGAAGTAGAAATGAAGTGGAATATGTAATTTGGCATTAAAAAATTCAGTTATCGAAAATGAAAATTGTTATTTCATGTTTAAGGGATCGTCTGGGTATTGGTACTGTCAACTTATCGATAAGGATACATGTAATTTGAATTGTGGGTTTGGGATTGTTGAAAGCAATGTGATTTGTTCATTTCTAATGCTTTGTTTTTTTTTTTTTTAAATATGAATGTCTTTAGATTTGCTGGTTTATACTGTTTCTTTATTGCTACTTGTTAGATCTTCTAGACCGTGGTTGGAGGCAATCTGGCTGTTTTCTCTACAATTCGTTTGAAGGCAAGTAATTTTGTCCCTTCCAAAGAGCAACTTCGAGTATATAGATGAATGCAGAGGTATAGTCATACTCATACCCTATTTCTGTCTCAGCTTCTTGATTCCAAATTTGTAATCTTGATAATTTTTTCTTGTTATCATTATTTTTTATTGGACTGCCAAAAGAAAGAGACTTTCATGTTATTATGTTCTTGTACTAGAGCCATTTAACCACCATGCTTCTAGGCTATAGTGACCAAAAGGGTTTTGTTTGCCCTTTGTCGCAGTTTTCCAAATATGGAGATATCCTGCATCAAAAGGCTTAGTCTTAATTATTGACATATGTATGAAATATATCACCATGCATCCACCACATTCTTTTGGTGTATGTGGATCCCAAGTTTTGACAGTGCTGTATGCCTAGGTTTTTAGATGGCACGCTTGAGGTGAGAAAACCAATTGAACTTACAGGCAGCTCCATCCATCTTTCAAGCACAGCAGGGAATGAATCTTTTTCTTGTGGCTACAGAGGGGAAAATAAGGCAGAAGAGTTTATGCATCATTTATCTGACCAAAAGACAAAGTGGTGCATACATATATTGAAAGTGGGGAATTTCCTTTTGGAATTCAATTGTCAAAAGCTGCAGTCAAAAAGGTTTTGCATGCCAAAAGAAAGTTATCAGTTGAAGGGTCAGAAAATCTTTTATGCTCCAGCAACATTGCCTTCCAAATAGCAGCTACTTGAAGGCGCAAACAATCAGCTGAGGACATCCAACAATCACGAATGTCAAGACAGAGTAAAGAAGAAAATGATCTAAGCCCCAAATCTATTGCAGAAAAGTTGGCATGTTCTCTAAATCAGCTAGTGAACATATCTGGCCTGTTCATTAGGGCTTCCAATGGGCATATTAACTTTTATTCTGCTGCAAAAAATGTATCTTCGGAAGGAGATGTTCAACTTGTTTCTCTCCCTGAAGAATCTGGGAGTGGAAATAAAAGCTCTTGTGCAAAGAAGAGCTCTGAACATCCTCAAGTTCAAAAGAAGAAGCTTGAGATCCGTTTGAAAAGGTCCAGTTTTGATCCAGAAGAGTATGCATTGTATAGACGATATCAAATTAAAGTGCATAATGATACACCAGATTGTGTCACAGAAAGTTTGTTCAGGAAGGTTCTTGTTGACACTCCCTTATTATTTGTTTCCCCATCTGCTGATGGCATGGTTCCTCCGTGTGGCTTTGGTTCTTTCCATCAGCAGTACATCATTGATGGCAAGCTAGTTGCCGTTGGTGTGATAGACATCCTTCCTGGATGCTTGTCAAGTGGGTATTTATTCTGGGATCCTGATTATGCATTTTTTTCATTGGGTAAATATTCAGCTCTGCAAGAAATTGGTTGGGTGAAAGAGAATCAAGCCTATAGTGCTAGTCTTCAGTATTATTATCTGGGCTATTACATACACTCCTGCAGCAAGATGAGATATAAAGCAGCATATTACCCATCTGAGCTTCTTTGTCCTCGTCGTTACCAGTAAGTTCTGCCTCCGGTGACTCTGCTTTTACACACATTTTTTGATTTCTTGATTTGAACACCATAATCTGAATGCTTTTAAAGTGCATTGGTGATAAAATTTCTTGAGGCAAATAACCAAGAACTGGTGGCATCCAAGAATTTTTTAATCATGCAAATTTTCAACTTTTTTGGCATTTAAACTTAATCTCTTCTTTGTCTCCTCTTTTATCTTAGTTTCTCTATCCATTGCTTGATATGCTTGACTTTATGTGAAAATTTCATCTTCAAGTCCTGCCTTTGCCGTATAGCTGGAGTTGAATCTTGTGTTGCATTTTTATGACCATCTGCATAAACTGGTGATATTTGAAGACTTATGAGCTGAAATAATATTTCCAGGTGGGTTGCATTTCATATAGCGAGGCCATTGCTTGATAAAAATAAATATGTCATCTTATCTGATATTGCCAGTTTACAAGATGGGGAGTCCTCCCAATCCTGTGTTCGTGAAAGTGTCATGGAATTGCAGCATGATGACATTGGACTAGAAGACTCGAATGATGTTCTTATGGATGATGATGATGAAAAGATGAATGAGATTGAATCTGAGAGCTCTGACAATGAATTGGACCCAGAAACAAATGGCTTGGGATCTCCTGCAATAGATGATGGAGATTTGACTAATGTTTTATTGGGACTGAGCGGATCACGACTAAGATACAAGGTAAGTAAATGCTAGATGATGTAATTGTAATAAAAGGAGCTCTTAATAATCACCCGGTTGGAAGTTGTGGAGATTTTATCTCATGATTTCCTGTCCTAGTACGTAAGTGGCTCCATGAGATATTTGATAATAAAAAATTGATTTAATTTATCTATACCTCTTTGCCATGTAGTATATAGATGCATATTTATCAGAATTCCATATCCATAATCAAGAGAAAGAATTTGGGTCGTTGTATCAAAGACTAAATGTAGACCTCCTTTAACTGTTTCCTAGTGCAATGTGTTCGGCATTTTTGTTGATGTTTTTATTCTAATTAATGGTTTCTTTTGAAGGATCTACGACTAGCACTTGGTTCCACTGAAAGGAACTACTTGGAAACACTACTGCACAGCTACCAGAGAGTGGTGGGTGTAGAGGTGTCAGAGCAAATGGTTTATTCTCTTGGCTAAACTTGTTTGATTCATATGACTGAGAAATTTGGTCTCAGATCAATGTGCCTTAAAGTCTTCCAAGCTTTCTGGTTGCTGAGGGGGAGCTATTATGAACTTCATTTCTTGAAGTAGGGATCACTTTCATTTAATCCATTCAGTTAAGAAGCAGAGATTCCTAATCCAGGTTCATCTATCGTTCTTTCTTTCGTGCATGTGACATATTCTCTTGTTTTGGCAAAATTTGAATCGGGTGGGTTTCTTCCTTTGAGGAATTCGAATATGCTTTCAGCTTGTAGTGACCATATATGGCATCAAATAAATTTTGCTTTGCCTCTTTAAGCAAAATTGCTTTTTCCTCAAACCCCTCCCCTTCTCTTATTCCTTATTGTATTTGTTTTCGAGTAGACCTGAAAATTCGTGTGTCCTTGTCGTGTCTATTTTATATCAAACACATGTAAAACATAAAAATTATCATATTACAATTCATGTTTATATGTCAAATGCAAAACATTTTTTTTTTTTTTGCCAAACTCATACCTTATTTTCAAAATTTTAAAACCGTTTTTTTTCATATTTTTTCGTATTGATTTCTGTCATGTCTGAAATTATCTTATCTACTTTCCATTAAGTATTATTTCGGCATTATGCCCACTGCATATTCTGATTTTGTGGTGAAGTCAAGGCAAACGAAAAGAATCAAAGAACAATCCAGAAGTTTTAGGAGCTGCCATTAGAGTTTAATTTTGGTTGATGGCATAAGCCTTTACCTAATTTTTTATTACACTACTGATTACTCGTTTTAGAGCTATCCAATTGCTTGAATGTCCCTTTTACAAAATGTTATCCGAACATGCCAAGCTTTACTTTTCCACATTTCAATGGATGCCAACCGAACTATGGTCCGATAATGAATATACCTATTACTAAATCTTTTTTATTTATTTATTCATTTATAAATGGGAATTTGGTTCATGAGAATCATCATGGAATCAAAAGATTCTTATTCTTGAATATGATGAAGCTAGCATCAATATCTTCATTTTAGCTACAGACTTGAACACCTGAATTAAACATTTCAACAACATCAACAAATTAAGCCTTATATTCTATATTTTAAAATCGGTTGTTTGAAAATTTTTAAAAAAAAATCATATTAAATTGTAATTTTGATTTTCCTTGCATCACTTATTTCTATTGACAATAACATTTTCATTTACTACTTTAACCATTCTTTAATCATCATATCAATTGAACATCTCAAGAAACAAAATTTCGGACAGTAAAATTTTACTGAAATTTGATCAATTACTTAAATGGCCCATGTGCCAAACAGAAAAAGTGAGTTGAAATTTCAGCTTATTTGCCAAAGCATTAAAAACAATGCAAATGATAGCATTCAGCGTAATCCATCCATATCAATCTGAAACTTTAATTTGCGACACAACATTCAGTCAGGTTTGGACGTTGGGTCCATCAGAACCAACAATTCACTGTTTCCAAGCAATCATGTTATTCACAGCAAGTTGGTCTGCTGCTTTAATAAGGAATCTGCGGTTTTAAGTATTCAACATGAGCTGAATGATAATAAAGGGGTTAAAGAATGTACAATTGGAATTTGACCAGAATTCATTGTTAATCAAACATCATCTGTATCACTCCCACCAACATGTGTTTCATGGCTGACCCAATAATTGCTTCCATCAGGACCAGACACCTTGAACCTGCTCATGATCCAGAAAATCTCTTGTAAGAACATCCTCAATAACCAGAACCAAAGTTTCTCTCCATGTTTATGATTATTTACTCACCGTTCGAGAACAGATTTTCCTTCCTTGTACTTCTGGTTCTTGTCATGGGCAGTTTCCTGAAAGACACTATCCGTCATGAATAACAGCTCGGTAACAAGATACATAAATCATGAATTTTGAATATGTACCACAAAAGCTTACATATTTCCACCCCACAATTGATCCACATGCAACACAGAAGATGTCAGCCACAGTGTGCAACCCCGTCGTCATCAATCTATCTTCCATCTCACCGGCAGAAACATTCACTCTGTGAAATAATGGAGATGAGAATTTATCCATGAAAATGACCATTGTGTACAGATAACTTCAAATCTCATTTTCTTTAAAGATCATGTAAGTGGGATGTCCATAAAGTCCAGGCTTGTTCACTGTTTAGCCCATTAAGAAAAAGATACCTGCAATCCTCATCCTCTCATCTCTCCTGCTCTGCCTGGTATTCAAAAGGCTAAAGGGGGGGAAAAAGCCTTATGCTTGTGAGCAATTAAAGGCTATTACCTTGCTATAAGTGAACTAAACAAATTGTTAAAATCAACAATGAATTCAACAAGCAGAATCTTTTCTTATGCATTAAGCAAGACATTACGAGCACAGCATAGTTTGACAACCTCCAGGCTAATTGTATGATAATAGAAGTGACAGGCACCTTATGGCATAGGCAAGTATTAGAGTTGTTGGTCCTGTTCAGAGTAATTCTAGACAGATTTGGTATTTGTACAAAATGATGAGGTGCCTAAAATCAAGAAAACTTACACCTTACTGAAGAGATATGCTTTCCCATGCCTGCATTGGAAGGACTGAATAAAAGAACACAAGCAAAACACGTCGTTAGAAACTGTGCTTCTAAGAGAACCCCCAACCAATGTGAAAGCAAAAAGAAAAAGAAAAAACCTCCAAAATAATGAACTACACCAATATGCCTATGAAATATATAATTGCCCAATTCTCATCTAGAAACAAAGGTAAATTAATTAGCACTTTAGCAGTCAAGAACAATCTCCATTCTTTACCATAACTATCATCCACTAAGCTGCTCTTGAGCAAAGTATATGCTTTTTAACTTTTGAAGTGAATGACCTCAGTGCATAAGATGGTTTCAGACTCATTTCTTAGTATAAATTGTCAATTATCACAGAAATAAATATGCAAAATCGAACATTCATATTTTTAGTTCATATCATAGATGCGAATGAACCGGGAGGTCACGGGTTCAAATCCTGGAAACAGCTTCTCTGCAAAAAATACAGAGGAAAGGCTGCGTACTATGGACCCTCAGCCCAACCCTCACAAAGCAGGAAGCCTTGTGCACTGGAGTTTGCCCTTTTAGCATAGATGTGAATGAAGTGAAACATACAGTTCAGAGTTCATCTGTTGTACTAGTAAAGGATAAACTTGGCATCCCTGCATCTTTTGGAGGTTGTAGCCCTCGATCAGGGAAGAAAAAGGGGAAAAAACTCATACAGCTGACACAACTACTTTCGGATTGAGACTTATATTTCTCGTGTTAACTTGGGCTTCTATATACTATCATTGCAGGCCATATCACAATAAAAGGTACTATAACATTTCCAAATAGCAGGTTTAATCTCTTGCACAGGTCCTCTCAAATGCATAAGAAAATATGTTTAACATCATATTTATCCTACAGACCAACAATTGGCCATCATCATAAAGTGCAGAGCCCTTCCCAATGACACCAAACTAACATCTATGCTTAGAAAGAGACAACAATAACAACATAAAATAAGATCCTCCCAGCATCCAGTTTAGTTAACATTGAAGAACCATTGAACTTCCATAATTACAAAGCCAGGAAGACAGACATGGATTATCCAAATTCCTAATTTAATAATAGAAGAAATATCAATCTGATCAATCATGGATCCCATACTACTAGTAGTAAATGCTATGCAGTCATAAAATGATGGAACTTTAGATATCCCCTAATCATAATTAAAACCATCATTACGTAAACACAGCACAACCACACAAATTAAAATTACCCAGATGAAGATTTCACAAGATTATCAGACAAAAGTCAAAGGAATCAAAGTTAAGGAAAAAAAAAGTACAACCTTGGAGATAATATCCTCATAAAGAGCAAGATGGGTTTTGCAGTGCTTGCAGCTATAAACCCTCCCTTCAAGATTCACCACAAATAACCTCCCCATCTATCCACCACCCACCAGATCTTTACAAAACACAAACAAATAAAAAAGAGCGAATCTTTAGATATATATATATATATATAAAAAGACGAAAACTTTGAATACCAAGATATGATCTTTATCACGAAAACGAAACAAAAGACTGATGATTGATGAAAAGGGTAGTTAGAATTGAAGAAAATGAATGGATTGCACGTGAAAGAAAAAAAAGAAATTATTACTGAAGAGAAAAGAAAAGAAAAGGGATGGTTGAAATATTTTTCGATTGCCTTCGCTGGCTTGGCTTCTTTCTCTTGAATAGTTCTTTTAGCCGGAAATGTGGACCAAAGAAGCTATCACATCCACCATTTTATGTTTGCATTTTTCTGTCAAGTGGAACCTGCGTGGACGTATAAGCCACTGTTTAAAAATTGACGCAATTTAAAATTTTAATAACACTTATATATAATTTTAATAAAAATAAAAATATATATTTTATATTTATATTTTTATATAGATATGAATGATAATATATAATTTTTAGATAATATAAAAAAATACATAAATTTTAATATTTTGTATTATATAAATTATTAAATTATTAAATTTAATGTATTATATAAGTACTCTTTATTTTACTAAAAAAATCTCAAAATTAAGTTTTATTCATGAAATTTTTTAATATTAAATAATGTAATAGTTAATAATAAATGTAATAATTGTATTTTACATCTTGTTCTTTGTTAGATAATAAGCATGATTATTTGATTAATCAAGTTTTGTTAAGGTTAAAAATCACTGTCTTCAGCAAGTAGTTCTTTTCCCATGTCGTACTTCCCAATCGTACAATCTCAAATTGAAATAGCCAATTGAAAACAAGTCAAGAAATAATGAGTTGCTTTAAAGAATCAATTGACCAAATTTAATAATACAATGTTTTAAAAGTATATTAAAATTATATCTGATAATTATTGCATTTATGTATGTATATTTTTTTTGTCTAATACACGCATAATATAAAATTTATGGTGTTATAATTTTTGTCATTAGACTTAACCCAAAATTATTTTTTATTTTTATCTAAAATTTTTTTCAAAATAATAATAATTAAAAAAGAAAAAAGAAAAAACGCTAAACGTCCATTTTGGTTGGATTGCTTTTGGGTTTTTTTCTCATGTGAGCTGATTGCTTTCTTACTTTTGGGTTGGACAATTTTTTGACCCAAACCAGAACCATCATGCCAGTCGTTGTCCTTTGGCAACCGAACCCTATAAACTTGTCGATCTTACTTTTTTTTTTTTTTTTTTTTTTTAAGGTAAGAATAAAATATGAGATAAATAGATTGCTCAATCTTTTAAATTAAAATAAAATATATCGTATCAATTTAAGATAAATAATTATAGATCGTAGTTTTAAAATGACTTCAACAAGTAATCATCGGTAAAATTTGAAATTAAAATTTTTTCGTCAAGAAAAACGAGCCTAACCGATTAAACCAATCACTTGTTAATCAATCTTTCATAGCTATAATTACGAAAATAAATGATATATTAATGCTCGTAAAATTTTTTAATTTTTTAGTTTTGACTTAAATAAAATTTAAATTAGGCTCAATAATTATCAGGTTGAATTTAAACTCAAATAATTTGATTTATTGAGTAAGTCAAATTCAAACATTTTAATATATAATTTGAATAACTTATAAATTTAATCAATTTTTTAAATCTTAATATTTTTTTATTATTTTAATTAAAAATTTATTATTTTACTCTTATATATATATTAATTCGAGCTCGAATTCGAATACAGAATGAAGTTTGAAATTAAACACGAGAATCGAATTCATTTTTATTAAATAAACTTAATCGAATAAATTTAAATAAATTAATTTTTATTTCGAGTTAAACTTAAATTTAAAAATTAAAATTTGGTGTAGCTCGAACCAAATTTCGAGTAACGAATTTTTAGTTGAACTCAATTTCAAGTTTTTTATTATATTAACTTAGCTCAATTTAATTACGAGCTTAATGATCGACTCTCGTGAAATTAACAATATTAAAATAAAAATTCCTTAGTTTTTTCATTTTTTAACAATAACATACAATTAAATGATTCAAATTGCTGTTATCCCCAATAACCATCAATTGTTAAAGCTAGCAATGAAGCTTATAGGACCCTTTCCAGTTATTGCAGCCTGGATTCCAAAGATGAGGAAGGCGACCACGGCTAGTCTGGAATGCTTGATCTCTGCCAGTTTCAGGTTGTCAATTTTCTCAGGATCAGAGGCTAACCCTAGTGGATCAAAGTACCCACCAGGGTAAAGCCTTTTCTCAGGATCAAGCTCAGCATTCCTCTCGAACTCAATGTAACCAATTACCAGAACCTCTATCCAGATTAATGTGGTCAAGGAAAAAGGCAGCGGTTGGCCAAGGTAAGATGAACCTTCCACCAACTCTACCTGATAAAAAAAATCAGAGCCAATCAAACAGAATGGAAAATCACATGCAATCATAAATTTTTGCTTGGGCCACCAGAAAACAGATATTCAAATGGTCCCAAAAGGTAAACTGTCCTTCACGAAGGAAAGTGATCCAATTTATAACCCTCATCAAATGGCAGATTTTCTTGAGGTATGATTTATGTATTTGGATCAATAAAATTAATGTAAACACATCAATCTTTTTCCTCCACTCATCTCACCTACTCTCTAGCTCTTAATGTAGTTAATTTGCTCCCAAAATAACAAGAAATTTGACATGTTTAGGTAACATTTGCATTTCATTAGAAGAAATAAATCATGTTGAAGTGTCCATCTATGTATATAAAAAAAAAAAAAAAAAAATCACAATAATACATATTAGAAATCCAAATAGAAAGTATTGTTGTCAATCTATATATGCCAATTTTGAATTAATCGGATCTAATTTTAGATTTAATTTCGAATAAGTAAAAATTTTTAAATTATATACATTTTTTGAAAAAATTATGAGATAACATTTTAACGAAAAATTCATTTTTCATATATCAAATAGTTAAATTTTTTAATTTTACAAGCAGATTAAAAAACAGTCACGTCTTTTTTTATTTTTTTTCCTATATATTTTTAAAATGTTCATAATAGAATTTAATTTTTTTTTCCCATATATTTTGCATGCAACGTGGTAAATAGTACAATATTATACAGGATACCTACCTTTCCTGCGTCTTGCATGCAACTCCAGCGAGTGCCTCAACAGCAATGGCACCAAGACTTCCTAACATTGCCCATCTACCATGAATCAGCTCAGACTCTCTAAACCTTTGAATCCCAAACACCTCCATGTACGGCTGAAACGGCGTCGGCTTAAGCTCCGCCCTCTAGTTAATCACCCCTATAACCTCACCAGCCACATTCTTGGCCAAGTTCTGGTCCAATGAGTCCAAATCAAACTGCAAGTACTCTGCTGGCTTAGCAAAGCCAAAAGGGTCAAACCCTCGGTCTCCGATCATTGTCCCGTCTAGCCATTCCGGTGGTGTTGCATTGGGGAACCAAACAAGGCGGTCAGAAGGTGGTTTAGGGGCTGCTTTTTTGGGTGCTGCTGGTTTCTTGGTGCCAAAGCCAAACCTGGCTTGGATTCTACCAGAGCGTGGGCTAGGATTGTAGATAGGGATCCTGAAAAGATGCGACGTGGTGGCAGCTATGCTGGTGGCTGTGGCCATGGCTGAGGACTAGTTGGTGGTACTGGTGGAGTAGCTAGAGTGATTGTGCAATATATATTGTGTTATGTACATATGGAATAACATGTATTGACACTTTTTATTTGGGTTTTTTTCTCAATTTTTGGTTGTTTTCTATTCTTTTTATCAAATTGAAGAATGTGAATGGGAATTTTAGGGCCCTTATTTCTGCCTTATCCATTTGTGGATGAGGTTGGATGGTTGATGGCTCCTTCACCTTATTATTTTCTGGGGTCTTTTAGTATTGTTCTGTCATTTTCCAGCTCATATTTAAGGATTCCTTTTAACCAAACAATTTGGTTGTTTTACAATGGAAAATGCAAAAGGAAAATTCTCTTAATATTATTAAGTCTAGCATTCCTCTGATGGAAAATGCCACATCAGAACCGTTCTTCCCAGAAGAACAGACAGTCACAGTAGTATCAAACAATTGACTTGTTAGAGACCAATCTGTCAGACATGTTAGATACTCTGTAAGAATCACAACTCCAAATAAAGTGACAAACAGCACTCACAGACAACTTCCCATCTCTCCTCCCAAAGTTGCCTAGTGTCACCCTAATGGACCTCCCACAAATATCTTCTTGGCATCTACTTCTACTCTTTCCTGCTATTCTCAGCTTTTTTTATCTTTTTTATTTACAATTTCTTGCTTTCATTTTCTTCCATAGAAGAGGTATGTTGTTCCTTTTATAATTTTATGCTTATAGCTTTGTTTTCTTGATCTAATATTTACCTTTTTTTTATTGTTCATACTTAAATTAGGAAAGTGTTGCTGTTAAATTTTTTGCTACTGGATATTGTGATGAAGGTGGGCAAAGCGTGGGGAGAGAAGTGGAAGTCCATGTCTAAAGCGCGCAGTAAGTTCTCGATATCACCTAAAATCGCTTGTGTTGGATGTGATGTGTCTGGACAACGAATTATGTCAACCACTGTTCCAATGGTCGCCTTTCACTTGGAAAATACCATGGATTCTGTTAGTAAAGGTGATGCATAAAACTTTCACTGCGGCTCCTCTGGACCTGGCTATGCACCAATCACATGTTCGACGATTTTGGAACTAGTATGGCATGGTCAAGCCAATGCCAGTCTTGGCTAAACTACAGAGGACCTGGAAATATGGTAATGCATATGGCTGGATGGTGGATTTTGAGATATGCATCTCCTGATTAATGTCACGAGTTTGAAATTTATCACATAAATGAATTTGTCTAATTAACTAGTTATGGGAATGGAATATAAAGTTGTTTGTAAGTTCCATCTCTATCTGTAGCTTGATTCTTAGCTTTTTGAAAGTGAGTGTCCCTCAAATCCTCTTTTGGGTTGCAATTGGTAAGAGAAAGCTCCATATGAAGCAAAAGCAGCCAAGAGGAAATCAGAATATGAGAAGCTCAGGGCAGCCTACAACAAGAAACAGGTAAATGGCAATCTACTGGATGAATACTGACCTAGCTACTGTACTTTGATATCGCCTTGAGTAGCATGAATTCTCAACAAACACATGGGTTAATGATCATTTCTGGTATGTTTGGATATGCTTGCTGGTCTTGTGTCAAAACTTTTCAACCCTTTGTTGGTTTATTGGTGTATTCACTGTGTTGTAGCACTGCAGACTAATTGACTCAGTCATACTCAAGTTTTGCATGTCTATTTCTCTAATAAATCCTGATTTCGATTGGCTTTTGCAATTGTAGCAGGATGGAGAGGACG